GAGTCTGCCTTGCAAGTTTTATTTTTATCCAAGGTTATAATTATCCAAGCATATATCAATCCCAAGAACACTCCTGCACAAGTTGCAGACCCCAGGCCGCAAGAAGACAGATTGTGCATCCAGACTAATGTTCTACCACCTAGTAGCAGCTCATCTTAGGCTTTTGGTCAGACGGACTATTTACAGGAACTCAGTTCCTAATCCTACAGGAAGAACATGTTTAATGAACTGGTAGGGAATACACAGAGTGAAATTGCAGCATGACCATGGAGGGCAGTGGGATTATGGCAGATCTTGAACCTGCAGTCACAGAGAGAGGGGCTCCCACTATAATTGTCCTATCCCTGTGAGGAAGATCTCTCACCTGTCTTTTGGCCTGCGAAATCCAGGTTTGGAAGAGCAAGTCCAGCCTAGTTTTATGATACTTTCTTGTAGTTTTCACAGCAATAAAAATGTCCTTCAGCTCCAGATTCTCCTTAATGGAATCACCTGCAGGTCCATGGTGGTCCTTCAACATAGTTTGAAGAGGACTGGTGGGGCTCCCATCCTGCTCCTCAAGTTTAAGGCTGGATCCCCCAGCACGTAGGCTGTAATCCCCCCATTTTTCTACAGTTTCATCTTTCACACTGTGTGCAATATCAGTTCCCTCACTGTCCAAATGGCCTGTTGAGCTGGGCTCGGCCTGCGGGTGGTGGAACTCACTTTTGCAAGAAGCATTAAAAGGAGGTGGTGGACGGGGTTGTGGATAGCCCCTATGTCTCCAGGTAGTCTGGAATTTGGGGATTAGCAGGAGAAGGAAAGCACAGAAGGTCACGGACAGCAGGAAGCAGATTTTACTGAGCCCAATGCAGGAAAGTGTCATTCTTCAGCCCCCAGGGCCCCTGCCATGTTGTACAGTTGGGACATTGCGTCACATAGAATGGATCACAGCTCTGCAGGAGAGAATAGGAGAGGTTGAGGGCTCTGTGAGACAGACTTGCATCACAGTCTTGCTATATTTTGTTTACAAACCACGGAACCAGCAGAGCTAGGTGTGTTCTATGCCTGGAACATCTGCTTGCCTCTGCCCCATGAAACCTCACTTTCCTCTTTTACATGCTACCTCAAGACACTTCTTTTTCCCTAGTCACCCTTTCCCCAGTGCACATACATTGCTGTCCTTAGTCACCATAACCTCAGCACCACCCCAGTCGTACTAACACCAACACCCCCTCTCAGTTATAGGTATTGCTGTATTGATAACGGTATCGCTGTCACTCTCTGACCTTGTTTCAAATCCCTTGCTTGCTGCTACAACAGTAGACGGTTAATTGTGTTTTGGGGTTTTGTATCAAGTTATTATTCACTTCCACTGTAACAGCTATCATTAAAAACTTAACTTTTTATTAAACACACAGAAAAAGGAAAAACACTTACAAGCATTTGAAATTTAAGGAGTTAAGTAAAATCTGTATTTAAAGAACTTCCCTTATTCTCTTTCTGTGTATAGTTTAAAAGGGGGAAGTCCTTTGTTTGATCATCTTTTTAAGTAGTATTAAAGATGATTTTAACTGTCCATGTTGGGGACAAGTGAAAAAAAAATCAGTTTAGACTGTCTTGATTTGTTCATAGTCAAACATTTTAAGTCCAGAAGGAACCATTATAATCCTCTGAGTCTAGTCTGATCTGCACAACACAGGCAAAAGAACCACACCTACTAATTTCTGCATCAAGATCATAGCTTTTATTTGAGTCATGGCACATCTTTCAGAAAGACATCCAGTCTTCACTTAAAGTTGTTGCTGTTTCCTTCAAGACAAAACATATGTGAAGAGAGAAAGAAAAACTAGCAAAGGTAGAAAGTGCAGCTTCTATTTCAGTGGAGTTTTTTGTTTGTAAATCAGTTGCTGGAAAGTTATAGTCACAGCATACTGTCTTATTAGACTGTCAGATTTAGCAAACTTTTACTAGTTGGGCTAAGAACATTGTTTACAGTTTGCCTTTTCATTACAGTAGTGTTGCAAAAGATGTATTTGTCTTGGCTGGCTAAACCAGACTCTTATTAGATAGAAGACCAAAAGGAAATGATAAGAAAGAAAAAAGATGAAGAAGGAAGATGTCACCCAAGAGATGGTGTGGCAACAGGCAGTTCTGTTTCACATCCCATGCGGAGTTCAGGATTCAGCAGAACCAGATGTAGGTGCTGATGTCACTGATTTCCTCTTTTTCAAGGTATATGTTATTGCCCCAAGCAGGTGGCAACAGCCATGACTGTAAACCTTGCTCTTCACCTGCAAGCTGTTCCATCCACAGGTTCCTAAACAAGTTGTCAAGTGACCCCTGGAAAAGCACCATCCAGAAAGGTGCAGCAACCTTTCCTCATTAAAATTACTCAGTTAAAACATATTTACAGTGATTCCAACTATAAACTGTTTTCCTAGTTTCCTTCTCTTTCTAGACTACTTCAGCTGGTTGTTATGCCAACTTGAGACCTCCCCAAAAGTGTCAACCCCCCTATTAAACACATTCAGGTTGTGTCAGTCTTTTTGTTTCACTTTTTGCTTGATCTACAAATATTACAGAAGAGGCTGAGCTGGACTCATTTTACCTTTCATCTGTTTGGGTGGCTTGGGACATTGGCCTCGGGACAAGCGTCCTCTACTCTCGGGTCAGATCTGTGTCTCTGAGAACCCGTGGGCTCCTCGGGGCTGGAGCTGCGGCACCGGCCTGTGCATTGCAGGGCGCTCCCCGTGCTCTCGCTGTCCAGGATGGGCACAGCAAGCACCCAGATAGACAGAACATGGAATAGTGATGCGGGTCACACTTGGTGCCCTGGGGAAGGCACTGTGGGCTCAGGTGGGCGCGGGGGGCACTGCACATGGGGCAAGTGATGTCCCAGGGGGCACTTCACGTGGGGGATCACATGGGGTGGGGGATGTCCTGAGCGCGGGGGG